AGGGCTGAGCTATTGAAACTTATTTAACTGTTGAAGTTTTTAAAATTTACTCCAGGTCTATTTGGAACTTGTCATTATTTTCATTACTGGTGGTCTGATGTATACCATCCCTGAGGTGTGATGGTGAGGCATTGAGATTTTGGGATCAGATTCAATTACTCATCTGGTATGGGTTCCACATAAGGCTTAACAGCCTTAGCAGGAAACCATAGTGGGCCTGTGAGTGAGAGAATAGACACATACCCTCTCTCCCATGTTAACAATTCAGCAGGTCTCAACCATTGTGGTCCCGTCAGCAGGTGGTGGAATAAAACCAATCGTCTAGGTCTCTTTTTAGGAGGTAGAAAGTGTCATTCTATGGCTGTTAATTTTGGGGAATTACAGTTTAAGAAATTTGGTGTAAACAGAGCTTTAAAGACCTATTTATGAGAAGCCAGTCCTATATCTATATTACCCCTCCTTTGTTTACTTATTTGAGACTTAAGAAGGCCATTAGCTCTTTCAACAATTGCCTGGCCAGTGGGGTTAAATGGGATTCCTGTGACACCTATGGCCACCCATCAATGGATCAATCCATTCACCAGGGTACAGTCCCCACAGTCTAATCACCTGGTGAAGGCCTCTCCTTTTACCATAATAGAATTTCCCACTCTCAACACTGTTACAATGGGGATTAATACATGAACCTCTGGACGAGACAATTCAACCCATAGCATGTCTTTTACATCTTTTGTTTTAATAAAGATGTTATATTTCAGGTTATCTCACATTAACAGTACACACCTGGATTTTGTTTACTTTTAATGTATATTCAGTTTTATAAACATTGGCTATAGTTGTCTTTCTTTTGCCTTTTGATGAGTACAAGTTTTTAGAGTCAACGAAGTCCAATAAACCAGCTACTATTCTATACTACATAACAAAATTTTGCCTGGTGCAAGGCCATGAAAAATATCTTCTTTGTTTTTAGTCCCCAGAAGTTTCATAATTTTAGCTTCTACTCTTATGTCTATGCTTAATCTCAAATTAATTATTGTATGGTTTGAAGAAGGCATATAGATTAATTTTTTTCCTTGTGCCATTTGATAAAAAAAATTCCTTTCTCTATTAAATTTTCTTGGTGTTTTTGTTGGAAATCAACAAGATATTTCCATGTGGATCTATGAGTATTTCTGAACTATCTATTTTATTCTTCTGATCTCTTAGTCTGTCCTTGTGCCAACACTACCCTGCCTTGATACTGTAGTTCTAAAGTAAGTCTTGAAACAGTAAAAAAAAAAAAAAAAAATTCTAGATTTGTTTTTATTTTTTATTACTTTGGCTATTTGAGGTCCTTTGAAATTCCATATAAATTTTATAACCAGCTTATCAATTTCTACAAAATGATTGGCAATATCAGTTAGGAAAAAGGACATCATAAAAATACTAAGTCTTTCAACCCATGAATATAACTCTCTACTTAGGAATTATTTAATTTATTTCTGCAATCTTCTGCAGTTTTCAGCATAAGTTGTTGCCCATATTTCATTAAATTTATTGTGAAGTATTTTCCATACTATTGTGACCATGCTTAAATTCATTTTTAATGCTATTTTTAGTATTATTTTCTAATTAGTTCTTGCTATAATAAAAGACACTATTGATTTTTATACAGTTATCTTGTATCCTGTGATTTTGCTAAATTAACTTAGTTCTACTTTTTTAGTTTTATACCTTTCTAATGAATGATCATGAGGTATGCTTATTAAAACCCCAATGCTGCTATTTTTTCCTATCTTTATGTTTTATTTCTTTTTCTTGCCTTATTGCACTGGTAAAAACTTTTAGTAAAATGTTGAAGAGAATTCGTGAGTGGAAATTTCCTTGCCAACTTTAGGAAGGAAGAAAGCAGACTTTCACCAGTAAGTATTATGTTACCTTGAGATTTCTGTAGATAACCTTCATCAGATTGAAGAAGTGGCTTTTTGTTTCTAGTTTACAGAATTTGTGTCATGAATAAATGACGTGTAGTTTTTTTTTTTTCAGTCGCTTGTTCTGCATCTAGTTAGATGGTCACATGATCTGACATCAGATTGAAGAAGTGGCTTTTTGTTTCTAGTTTACAGAATTTGTGTCATGAATAAATGATGTGTAGTTTTTTTTTTTCAGTCGCTTGTTCTGCATCTAGTTAGATGGTCACATGATCTGATTTTTGTATTCTGTTAATATGGTGAAGCACAGTAACTTATCTAGAATTCTGAATAAGTACTGCATTCCTGAGGGAGAAAAAAAAATTCTTCTTGGACTTTAGATAATGTTTTTATGTATTGCTGAATTCAATTAATTATTTAAAAAAATATTTTTATGAATATATTAATAGGGAATAGTAAATAATAATTTATTTCCTTGTGCTATCCCTGTCTAATTTTAATATTAGGGTAAAGGTAACCTCATAAAAAATGAGTTGAGATTTGTTTCCTCATCTATTATTTATAATAATTTGTGTATAATTAACATGACATCTTTAAATATGTGATGGATTTCCTCAGTGAAGCAGTTGATATGGGAGTTTTCTTGTGGAAGAAGTTTTTAATTATAAGTTTAATTTATTTGGTATAGGAATAGACTCTGGATTTTTTTCTTTTGTGTTTTTCAGGAAATTTTCACAGTCTAAGTTGTCAAATTATGGGTATAAACATTTTTTGAATGTTATCTGATTTACTATTCAATGTCTGAAAAATCTTTTGTGATGTCTACTTTTTGATTCCTGACATTTGTAATTTTTGTGCTTTCACTCCTCCATCAATTGTGTGAAAGATTTTTGCATTTTATCAATCTTTTTGAATAAACAAATATTGGCTTTGTTGATTTTCTTTATTTGGGGACTACTTACTAATTCACTACTTTCTACATATAAGTTAAGAATTTCAACCTTCTAATTACATTCTATTTATAGTTTCAAAGAGTAGAATCTTAGAACATTGATTAAAATATATCATTCCCAGTTTTTCATCTTATGTAGATTTTTCTGGAATAGAGTTGGTGATATTTGAAGCAAAGAAACATATTAATTAATTAATATGTGAGGCAAGGTAACAAGTTTATAAAAAGTAATAAGTATCTGAACTATGAATCACTGTCAAGACAGAGAGAAGTTGATGTAAGGTATAGAAAAGGGAGAATTCTTGGGTTTATGGCTAGAGAAAGTAGACAGAGGCTGATGCGACTAACACCATTTAAACAGACTGGAAATATTAACATGTAGAGGGAATCTCAGTAAACTTGGCTTAAAGCATATTGAGTTTGAACTGTCTATTCAATACTGAAGCTGAAAAGCCAAGTCTAACTCCTTCAAGAAGAAATCTAAACTTAACTTACAGTCACTAATAAATAGATAATCACTAAAGTACCAAAACAGGTGAGATCTACCAGGGAAAAGTGGTAGTAAAGGAAGACTTTATAAATAATAAAGTCAAAGATGAGTACTCACAGACTGTCCTAAGACAAAACAGGAACCCCAAATCAAAACATAAGCAGGATAATGTCAAAGAATTTCAGACCAAAGTAAGAGAGGTATTTCAATTAGATGATTTCCTAACAAGGAAAAGCTAGATAAATTTTAAGAAAAACAGAGATGGTAGCATCTTCTTTACAACAAAAATACAAATGCGTAGTATTTTAAAGGATTTTGGAGTCACACAGACTAGGTTAAACCTATCTTCATCTGTCCCTATAGATATGTGTGACCTTGAAAAAATATTCAAATCTCAGTAGACATTTTATTTTTTCATAAAATGAAATGGAAGTTATAAGAAGATCAAATGAGGTAATGATTGTAAATGATATGCTGTCATCCCAAAAGCATTGCGGTTACCAAGTAAATGTCATGTTCTTATGTTTATTTTCTTGTATAGTAACATAATAATATTTTAGCATATGTTTTAGTGTATATATGCATGTATATGCAAAAATATACATGCTATAAATTTGTCTATGGTCTATTCCATAAATAAGCTTTTTATTATTTAAAAAATTATTTTATTAAAGTATCTTATACTAAAGAGAAGTAGAGAAAACAATAAAATGAACACCATTTTCTTACCTTCCTTATTCCAAAAAATGTGTTCTAGAGAAATAAAGCATTACAGGCATATTGGAATTACCATTTGTACTCTCCCTAATTTCACCACCCCCACCTGTCTTCCTGTGGGAAGCCCTCCTAATAAAGCTGATGTTTATAATTCTGATGTGTGTGTTTACACTTTTGCTATATATTTATGTCATCATACAAACGTATATATTTGTACTTTTAAAATTTAAGTAATCATTATCACATTGAACATATTACTTGAATAAGATTTTAAAATTCAACATTTTTGATACTTATAAGTATTAATACATATAGCTATTGTTCACTTATTTTAACCACTGTTTATAATCCCATTGTATGACTATGCCATGATGAATTGTTCCATTCTCCTATCCACAGGTTTGTTTCAGATTGGGAATCAAAATTCTTGTTTATGTGTCTTTCAGTGCATACCTGATAATTTCTTCAATAAACTTATCTGCAAGTAGAATTCCTTTGTTGTAGAATATGCCATATCATGTGTAGTACACACACTCTGTATTTGTAAAGTCATTTCAAAAATTATCTACTAAATAAAGCAATTTTTGTATGCTCTGACAAACAGCCACTAGACTAATTTTAATTCCTATCTAGTTTAAGAGCTTAAAGCTTTAGCAACGGGGGCTTTATATACACAGATAAATACCTCAAGAACTCAATTAGCTATATATTTATTTATAATAAAAACACTGCCTAGAACACTTATTGATGCCCTCTCAACATAATTCTTTAAAATTAAAAATCCTCATTACTAAACTTTATGAAAGTCATATTTAAATATACATATAAAGACGTATTTCTCTGGTTTAGATTAATAAAACATTTGAAGTACAGATTGAAGCTATAGCATTTTGAAGTGCTAAGTTACATTGCCATCTATTAAATTACTTACTCTGATTCTTCCAATTATGTTGAAACACCATCCTTCACTCAGACAGTTGATGCTGAGCAGTCTGCAGTGTTCAATTACTTTCTCACTGTTTTTTCCAGTAAGTTCTGGCATACAACTGTAAATACATCAGTGTATATTAGGAAAGTTGCAATTTAATTATTTTTAAAAAAGTCTATTAACAGTCTTGTAAAAATAATAATTCCTTGTTTAAATTATATACAGCATGTAGTAATACATGATATTTTTTATCATTAATTTTTCCTCTGCATGCTTGTGTTTTTAGCCAAGAAGAGCAATTTTATTTATTTGGAGAGAATTAGAATTATCTACATTTCCATTAAATGGTCTTAATATACCATTGGGAATTTAGGAACAAAATAAGCATTGGTTTTGACTGATACTTAACAATAAAATATAGGTTTTGGAAAACTGTTAGAATAAATAAAACCATTACCCAAATGTGAAAAAAAAAAAAATGATGACAAATGAGATTTCCAATCCTCAGTACAGTCATTCTATACTGATGATGTGCTAGCAGGAGTTAATGATGACACCCATGAATTTGAGACACAGTGTAAAGAGTTACTGTAGACAATAATGGTATAGTTGTAATTGGGCTAATTACAGGGGCTTTTGTTTGTTTTTTGTCACTTTTACAATTTTTGTCATTTGTCTGTAGTCTTTTAGGAATCAATCTTTTTCCAGTCTACTGCAGTTCATTAGCTATAATCTATAAGTTGCTAAAGAACACATACTTAGGTTCTGGCTTCCTTTGCCCTTACTCTCATTATTTTGAAAGAAATAGTTCAGTACCTTAACTAACATTTAGTATACTTTCTATTATAAATTGAATGGGGTACCAAATAAGAGAATATTTTTCTCCAAAGTAAACACCAGAAATTTTAAGGCCCAAACTAATACTTCTCAAGAGTCTAAGTTGTTACAAGCTGATTTGTTGATAAATTGAATATAACCATATATTTATAATTTTAAGTTATTATAAAAACACAAGATGATTTCATAAAAGAAGGGATCAAAGGCCATGTTGACAGAGTTTAACTGAAATAACATCAATAAAATGCTTTAGTAATTTACCTTTTATGCTATTTCAGTTGCATAGCTTTGCACTTTCACCCAGCAGAATTGAATTATTTCCTCATTTATATCAGGATTAACCATTCACTTTTTGGTGCCTAGTACGTGCCTGCCAGTAAGCTAATTGCTTTCATACAATTTTCTTCTTGTCTCATTCAATCCTTATAAGCACTATGTGATATATAATATCACTATGTTATAAGTGAGGAAACATACTCAGAAAAGTTAATTTAGTTGCTTTGGTCATATTACTTTCAAGCTTTAGAGTTGTTAATAAAATTAAGTTTTGCCTCACTTTAAATATATTGTACTCTGTTACTCCGTAAAAAAATACCTGGTAAGATATGTCTTCCTTACATCTCTCATTATGAGGGTATAACTAGAGATCCAGAAATTACTAAAAATACCATTTTGTTATGAAAGGTATCATTTCCACTTCTTCCTACTGAGGGGGAGTTTGTAAGGGGAGGTGAGTTGGCGAAGATGAAGAAATAGGAGAGCACTAGAGTACTTAAAACTTTGGTGAGTTGTGGCTATCATGTTTCAATTTTCCTTATGAATTGGAATGGATTAAATTGACCAAGAATAACTCCAAATATATATATGGTACTTGTACTTATATTATTCTGTAGAATTGTTTTCAAAGAATAAGATCAGTTTTATGAATTAAATGAAGAACCAAGACATGAATTAGACATGAATTAGATCAACCATGGACAAGAGTTAGATCAACTGGTTGCTGGATGAAGATCAGGCAGTAGCAACTTTGAGAAAGGGTTTCTAAACAAAGAAGGTTTTATTGATCCTGAAAAACTGGGCCAAAGAGTTTGCACTCTCACTACATGCCAGGAAGGAGGCACCAAAATACTATCTGTGAAACCTGGTCCAGGGAAGTTTAACCCAAATGCAGAGGAAACCCACATGAGAAAATCTTCCTGTTGAGTTTCAGGCAATCAATCCCCAATGCCTCCACTCCCACTGATGACTTAAAATCTAAGAGGAGCTTTTAAACCTCATCCGCAAGGAAAATGACATCCTATCAACTCAACCTGCTGTCAAGGAAAGAAAAAGTTTAAATAGCATTTTTCCCATTTGAGAATGTAAAACAAAGAAAACAAAATCAAAGAAAACATAAAAGCAAACTCTAGAATAGCGGACCCTTTGAAGAAATTCTGTTGCAAAAGTGCATATATTGCTTCTGTTGAGATAGTCAGAGAGGCTAAAACCTAACTCATTTTAACTATTCAAGGTGTCCAGAAACCATTTTAGTTAAGGAAGTCAATTGTTTTAAATAAGGGAGAAAGGAAAGAAATACCTTTCTGATCATCATGTTTCTAAAATATACAATTTATAGTTATATTTTTAAATAAAACTATTCCATGACTGGACGGTAAAAGGAACCTACTTATTATGATGAAAATGTTTAAGGTTTCATTTTTGGAGTTAAAAATGGAGACAATATATAGAAAGGCAGAAAGTATCTAGGAAGATACATGTAAAGGAAGAAAAGAAAGATAATGAAAAGAGAATATTTTATTGGACAAATCAGGGGGAAAAGAAAATGTACTTTTATCCTCTCCTTATTTATTTATTTTTTTCTGAAATGATTTTCTGTAACTGACTTAAACGTTTGTCCATTATTGGGTTCCATAAGGCCAATATTTATTGGACCATTAAGTTACTCTGTTTCTTGAACATAGTATCCCAAACTTTTGTCAGTGACCTGTGGAATGCACACTACTAATTTTAAAGAGAAGCATCAGGCTCCCTTGGGGCACACTAAGAGATGAAAGACAATGCCTAAGAATAAAATAGAACAATTATAACGATACACTGTAATAAAATTTGTTTGAATGTGGTTTCCCTTTCTTTTTCCCTCAGAGTATATTATTGTACTGTACTCCACTTTTGCTATGGTTTTCATGCCCCCTCCAAAAGTCATGTGAAAATTTAATTGCCAAATTTGTTTGAATGTGGTTTCCCTTTCTTTTTCCCTCAGAGTATATTATTGTACTGTACTCAACTTTTGCTATGGTTTTCATGCCCCCTCCAAAAGTCATGTGAAAATTTAATTGCAATTGTTACAATATTAAGAAGTGGGGCCTTTAGAAGTGATTAGATCATGAAGCCTCTGCCCTGTTGGATGGATTGATACCTTTATCTCAGGAGTAGGAAAGTCATCACAAAGTTTAATTGACCCATAATAACCATACATATTTATGGGGTACAGTGTGATATATCAATATATGTATACTATCTGTAGTAATCAAATTAAGGTAATTTGCATATTCATCACCTCACATATTTATCATTTCTTTGTGGTGAGAACTTTCAAAATCCTATTTTCTTGCTATTTTGAAATATACAATACATTTTTGTTAACTATAGTCACTCTACTGTGCAAATGGAACACTAGAACTTATTTTTCCCATCTAACTGTAATTTTGTACCCATTAAGCAACACCTCCCCATACCACTATTCTACTCTCTACTTCTATGAGATCAATATTTTTAGATGTCGCAAAGGAGTGATGTCATGTGGTATTTGTCTTTCTGTGTCTGGCTTATTTAACATAAAATAATGACACCCAGATCCATCTATATTGCTGCAAATGACAGGATTTCTAGCTGTTTATTTGTAAAGTCAGAGAATTTATAAATTAAAATGAAAATTAATGAAACTAAATATTTACTATATTTTAAATACAAGTTTTTAAAAAATATTATTTCAAAATTTAAAAAAATCATAAATTTAATAAAATTAAAATTTAAGACTTCCACTCAAGATGGAGGAATAGATGGTTCCCAGTGTCACTCTCTCCCACAAATCAACCAATTTACAACTATAAAAAAGCAACGACAGCCAAGCTGGGGATACTAGATCTCAGGGGAAGAGGAGGACAGACGTATGGAGTTCATGAAGGCAGCAGAATCCATGATGAGAGAAAGAAAAATAAAACACTTTGATTGTTTCAAATCCCAGCCACTTCCAGGCTGGAGCTGCTGAATGCAGTGTGCAAAAGCCACAGCTATGCCCTTCAGATGAAGTTGCTTGGAGGCAGCAGGGGAGAAGAGGGCCTTGGTGGCCCCCAGTCCAGCAAGACCACTTATAGGGTTCCCTTGGACCCACACAGGAGAAAGGAGCCATGACTGATTAAAAAAAGAGCCACTCAGAGGCTGGTGAGTTATCACAAGGGACTGGAGCATGGCCAGTCCCATGGGAAGTGTTTGGAGCATGGGTGGTGACTGGGGGAAAACTGGGGCACAGCAAGGACAGCTGATTTTCTCCCCAATCAGTGTAGGACTACTCAGAGGAGACTGGTCAGGAACAAAGAATTGCATGGAGCGCAGTTTGCTGAAAAGACTCAGGCCCAGACCAGAGTTTCTACACAACCCATTTGTACTGGATCTCATGAGAGCCAGAAGTACCTATAAAGTCAGCCATTAAAACTTGAGCTGTAGGCTGGCCCAGTGGTGCACTGCTACAGTGCGCCGCTTGAGAGCGCGGCGGTGCTCCCGCCAAGGGTTCGGATCCCACATACAGACCGGCTCCAGCTCACTGGCTGAGCGAGGTGCGGGCACAACACCGAGGGTTGCGATCCCGTTGCCGGTCCCGACACTGAGGGTTGCGATCCATTGCCGGTCACGAAAAAAGACAAAAAGGAAAAAAAAAAAAAGAAACCTGAGCTGTACAAAAAGCCTTCCCTAGGGAACCAGCAGCAAAGCAGAAATTTAGCTCAACCACAAAGCTCAAGTACTGGTCCATACAGGAAGTTCCCCCATTTTAGAAGTAAGCAATGGATAAGAAATTAATTCCAGCACAGAGGTTAAGTGGTGGGAACAGAAAATAATCCAATACAGAACTGGAAGAAAACACAAAGTACCCACAACCAGAGACGAAGCTTGATGTTAACTAGTAAAGTTCTCCTTTCACTGAAGAATACCTATAACACCTAGAAAGACTGGAAGTCCCCTGGGCTATCAAGCCAGTAAGGGAGAGGTCACAGGCCTTAGCCATGT